ACCACCAAAAAAAAACTTTTTGGATGGAAAAGAGGTATTTGCTCGAAATTACAAAGCCGGCGCCAAACCTTGGACAGAGGGCACTGGAAGGAAGTCGAGCGGTGTTGTCTTTGAGGTGAAAACGGCAACATGCAGAATTAAACGACATGTGAATCAGCTTAGATGCAGGTTCACCACAGATGGCCAAATAGCCCTGAATATGGCATCTGATACATTAAGATTTCGACTGTCAAAGTAAGCACAAAGCTAACATCACCGTCCATCTGCAAGAGCAACAGTGACACAACACCGCCAAAAACTAATGGATCCGAGGAGGTAAAAATATGAGGTAGGCCTTGCATTTTCAACGAATGTGTAACGGTAAACTGCTTCCAGTTGACACCTATCATTTTAAGTTCGTGCATCAACAATACTACTATACATTTCTCAAAATTTCTCTCTGCAATGTAGGCAATCTAATCTAGCAGGAAGAAAGCCCATTTGATGGTCTCCTTTTTGCCCATCAGTTGAGATGTATCGATGGCGTACTGAATACCAAGTCCTTCGTAATATCCTCTTCTTCTTCTGAGGCGACAGCATCGAGGTAACGAAATGAAAATGTGAGTAGAATTAGTAAAGAGTGTCCTCAGGCATACTTCTAGTTCGGGGGGACTGGCATGCCAACCTGTCTTGGCGGTCTGTCCAGACCTTGCTGTGATGCGAGTCGACCACTTAGATTCCTGTGAGCCTGCTACAGGCATCCTTGTTCAACGCCCACTGCCTCAAGCCCATTCGATCTCGCGGTGAGCGATCCCAGCTTCACTAGCCCGCAGCTACTTGACTGACTTCTGCTCGGATACTACGTGCCTAAGCGTCCCATGGACAAGCCCTCTCACGGTCGGAGCAATATGGGCCATCATACACATCACCCCTCGGGTCATGCAACGCCCACCATTCAAGCAATATTTCAGTATACTCCAAAACCAACGAAACCAGCTGCCAACACTGTTTCACTCCCTCCTTCACACATCAATGGACGCAATCAACGCTACCTCCGGCCGCATTAGTGGTCACTGTCACCTTGGACAACTTAGACGTATGCGCACATTTAACTCTTCCCTCAGTCTTTTCCCACAACCCGCGATGTGGACTGATGAGTATAGTGTTTTGAGAAAACACACACGGCTTAGATGCTTCAAGACTGCCAGCCCGTGCTTGGAGGGCTGACTACAGCACACGCCCAAGCTCACCCTGTCCTCGCGGCCATCCCAGCCCAACAAGTAGTGTACAGCGACAGACGACGTAACCAGAAATAACAAAGAATACAACAGGAATGAGAGGCGGCGAATTAAATTCGAATATTTTACGTAATTGACATATTAAAGAGTGTGCAAAAAAACAGCACAGGAGACGATGGAGAAGAGAATACAATTAGTCAAAAGAAAAAAATAAGGAATATGACCTTAAATAATGCCCTCGTGGGGTGGGTGGGCGTAGGCAGATAGAGGCAGTTGCAACTGCTCGAAAAAAGGACGGGGTAGCCGCCAACGGCAGCGTCAGAGAGATGCGTGGAAAAATAAGCGAAAACAGAAATGTGCGGAGGAGTAGGAGGAGAATTGGGAACCGTCGGACAGTCACCATGGCATTAGAAATGAAGGGTATAAGAAACAAGTATATACGCACATAAACGCACACACACACCCACGCGCAAGGTCCGGGCGGGTGGTTGAATCGTCAGGTTCCAGCAGGCTCTGTAGAATCCCCGCGATGGCAGTGATAATCACCCGAGACAGAGGCGGGAAACCAGACGAAACAGAGGGTAGCAGAGGATTGGAAGGGGGAGAGCGAAGGAGGAAACAGAAAGGAATACAGTGTGAAAAGGAAATCAAGAAAGTGAAACAGAAAAAAGGGCGCCTAAGGTATCGCGCATGCGGTTAACGGGCATTCAATGAGGCATAGCATAATTGCACACACACGAGACGAGCCCTGTCTACCCGATAGATTTGTGGCACACCTAAGGGTGCGTAAAAAGGGTGGAGTGTCAAACAGATAATCTGATGATAATGCAGGCTGCCATCCCCCGCGTCTGCACGGGGGGAGGGGGAGAAAGATTAATAGGAACCTAGGAAAGTATTGCACACTTACACATTGCATTCATATTGGAAAGGAGGGGACAGGGGGGCAGGGAAAGTCGAGATGGGGAGCGAGACGACCTGAGTAGGGCAGACAGGAGGGAGCAAGGCGGAAAGACTAGGACGAATGAGAAGGGAGGGAAGGAGGCGGTGGTGGAGGGGGAGTGTGAGGGCGAATGCAGTCAGGGCCAGATTACGCCCCCTTTTTCCCGCGAGCTGTAGACCCCGGCACGGTCTTATGGTTGTGTAACGGAATGGCGGGGAATTCGATGTCATCAATCAGCTGAGATGGGTTGGTGGGCATCGAGGTTACATCTGAAAGCTCGGCAGCGGTCAAATCTTCTGTGTGTGGCGAAGGCAAAAAGAGAGAGAGAGAGAGAGAAACACAGAGGCCTTAGTTGTACACGCGGACTAACTGACTGCACTCATACACGCAGTTTAACACTTGCCTTCTCCTTCTGACGAAATATCCACGTCGACATTTAAAAAAACCCTACAAGATGGAGACCTACTGTCCACAATAATACAGGAAGAAGCAGATGTGATCACTGCAACAATAACTTTATTCGCCTGACATCTTGAAATTTTACGGCGGATCCATCATGAAAGACAATAGCAGAAACGGGTCCCAACAACCACAACTGCTTCCTCTCAATTACTTTCCAGGACTTGCATTTTTGCTTGTAATAACAGTTGAGAAAAGGCTTGAAGTGAAACAGACTCAAATTACAGAACTCTGTCATTTTTACTTTTGGTAATCTGACTGAGACGTGTATCAGTATCCGGTGCGTAATCGGGCTGCTAGCGACTAAAACGCGTTACTGGCAATTCGTTTTTTGATCGTAACTCACTTTTGGATGTTACCACTATAAGGCGCCAAATGAACTAAATAGTGAACCTACAGTGCTGGCTTTGAGCGCAAATCGACAGTAGCAAAACGGCATTTCTCGCTGGTTGCAGGCGTGAGGGAGAACTACCAATAACAGCTACTTAAAAATACCAAGTAGGTAGAGAAGACGAACAATTAGGGTTGAGATCGGAGGAAACAAAACGGGATAGTGGAGAACGTGAGATTTATTTAATTGCCAAAGTACTTATATCGCACGTAAAAGGACAAAGAAAGTGTGAGAAAAGCTTGTCAGGACCATGCCCAAAACGGATTAGACAATGCTCACGGGAATTTCACGGCATAAGAATTGCCATAAGAAAATTGAAACACTGTTTTCCCAGAAGAAATTTGAAATTTGATATTTGCCTTGTTCAAATTGCCATCAGGGTAAAAAAGGAAATAGCTAGAGGAAAAAGTATTCTGCTAGCCCGCAACCTTTCAAATGACGGCATTCAGGAAGTCGTCGTAGTTAAAAACACTCGGAGTTATTACAGAAGAGGAGGAAATGGACCGACTATATTTCCCAGCAACCATCGTGCGCAAGGGATGACCCGACATAGAGTCTGAAATACGTAGCATACGCATACATACACAGGCTTCTAAGGGCGCTTCAGACTCGCTTCAAATATCAGTAATCCGATATTATTAACAAAGAGAAGTGATACTCGAATAGGCAGTCCGGGCACTAGATGGGAACCCAAAGACCAGGACGTAAAGTCTGTAGGTCGTCAGATAATCACATTATACCAGTGAACGTAATGCAGGATCCTAGTCTAGAAGAACAAGCCAGAGTCACAATTGGTAAAGGGTTTATATCAATAGTGGCCAGGAAATGGAGGGGGGGGGCGGTTGGTTGGCTAACAACAACGAATATGTTGGCAAAAGTCAGCTTAGTTTCTTTTTAGTCTATAGTGTCGGAAGACTTCTCGATCGCAGTAACGGGTGGCGCACGAAGGCTTAATGGCCTCACCTACACAGAAGAATTTAGTGTCAACCGGTAAGCACTAGGCCCTCCTCAATTGTCTATGCGTGTGGAAATCTGAAGCCGACTATCACGGTGGCGGGGCATCAGAGGAATGTACTGTGTGCAAAAAATTGAGGGGTGTAATCCAACTCAGCATTTTTGCGGAAGGAATAAGTCTTAACAATAACAGTTACTTAAATTTTGCTAGTAAGTAGTAAATATGCATAATCTAGGGCGCGGATTGGTGGAAACAAAGCAGGATTTGTCTGTGGGCATGGGACACAGAAGCCGAAGTGGCGGAGCAGCAGATGGACCTGCTGCGTCCAGAAATTCGCAAGCTGGTACTTTGAAGAAAGGAACTAGTACTTACGGCCTGATACGGGCTCTTCGGCGCAAACGGAGGCGAAACTGCGTTTTGATTGGCCTGACGATGACGCTCCAGCAGCGCCACCAGCATTGCGCTCATCTGCTCGCGCTTCCACCTCCG